CACTAATAATCAACATTATTTGTGCTTTAAATATAAAACTTATATAATGTGGATTATTTTAGTATATAATGGTATAGAATATTGGTTAATGGTTTAAGAATAAAAGCGTTTATGACGACTAAACAGTTAGACCAATGCAAATTGATCACATTGACCATATGCTAAAACTAATCCTTTATAAAAAATTTTTTGTTAAAATATTTGTTTAATTTCTAATAATATTTTGTATTTTGAAATATTTTGAAAATAAAAAACAAACTTGGGGTAAATCATAAAAATTGAAGAAATAATTTTTTATGTTCTTTTTTATATATTTGGAGGGTTTCTTACTTTATTCACTTAGTCCTGGGCCAACATACCCCAAAAGCGCGGTATGTTGCGGGATTTGTTTGCCCATCAGACATAATCTTGCAAGAATATATTAAAAAACCGATTTTGTATTTTTAATCATGTTATTTAAGAGTAGGGTCTTGTTAACCTTTTTTCATAATAAAATAAAATATAATATTAAAAAAATAGAAAGACAGGAACAGGTAGAAGACGGAGGTGTTGTCGTCGAGCCTCTATAGTAAACTTTAACTTTATTTTTACAAGTACTCATTATATAAAGCAATGTTAATAAATAACTATAATTAAATACGATAAATTACAACAATAAAATAAATACATTGATAAAATAAGGAATGTAACAAGGTTTTTATTATTATAACTATTTTACCATTCCGCTTGGAGAGTGATGCTTTCCGACACATTTTCAATTATGCTTATAATTTTACTACTCGGTTGGCGATTTACAAGATATTTGAATACTTTTATTTATTTTTTTTTTTTTTTGTTCTTTACTTCGTTTTAAAACATGACGTTAACATTTTATAAAATTTACAAGCTAAAATAAAAAAAATATAAACAATTACAAGTGAAGATAATATATATATATATATATATATAAAAAGAACGCGGAAACTCGTAGAAGACCGAAAGGTCTTATCGTCGAGTACCGCGGTAAAAAGACGTTGTTACATTTTTACAAGTTAAATATTTTACGTTGTAAATAAAAAAGTGTTATGCAATAATAAAAGAATAACAAGATTTAAATTTAAAAAAATTAAAAAAAATAAAATGTTCACAAAAAATTTCTTAAATATAAGTGGACAGGTAGTATAATAGCAATATAGGCTTTAAGATCGTAAATAATTGAGTTACAAATCATATCAAGAAAAATCATACATTACAAACCATATAAACCGATATAAATAATAGATAAAAAGAATTTCAAAAGGTTTAAAAGTACATTTGTATATTGCCAATTTCAAAAACTACTTCTTTCAACTTTTTTATAAAAGATATGAAATTCCATTCAAAAGAAAAATCAAAGTTATATAAGACAATTTTGTTCCAAAGATACGGTCCCCAAAATGATACGCAAAATTTACAATGATTAGTTTTCGAAAATGGTTGCATCAAAAAATCATCATTTTGTAGATTATATTTATTTTTTTGTTTTGTTATAAATAAACTATGAAAAGGAGACGGGGATAATTTCGTTTTACATTTGAACATAAAACAAAGAATATTATATACGTTAAGTTGATATATGTTTAAAACATTCATTTTTCTTAAGAGATGCTTTGAATGAGTTCGTCTATCACAAGAATTAACTAAACGTGCTATATGTTTCTGATGACGATGAAGAGGCTCTAGTTTACTTTTGTTAGTACTGCCCCACGCAATATTTGCATCGTTAACATGGCAGTGAATAAGTGAATAATATACTTGCATTAAAGTGCGCATGTTATTTGGAATTAGTATTGTTTTGTCAGCATATTATGTCCAAACAAGATCTTTAAATATTATAATTTTTTTTACTCAAGGTTTTTATAATATTTAAAGAAACTTTTCTTTTTTTATATATAATTTTCAAAACCTTTTTACTAAACAAAATAGTGAATCTAAAAAACACTACTTTGGAGTCTTTAAATTAATACCGCTCATCGGCATTAACTTGAATTTAGTTGAAATCTTTTGAAAAAGTTCCTTAATTTACTACTGATCCTATTTCTAATCGGTTCTAACGTATATTAACTATATATAGCTGTCAAAACAAAATATTTCTATCAATTTTCACAAAAAATACTAGAATTCCGACCTATAAAGAGCTTATAATTATGGAAAGTTCGCAATAAACGATCAAAACAGATCATATTGTTAAACTATAATGTTTATTTCATCTAAAAACGTATTATATAAAATCTTTGGTCTGGGTTTTTTCGCTACAAACATTTATATTTTTTGAGACCGCAAAATTTATTATTTTAATATTTTTCTTCTTTTCATAATTCACAGACCAGACGAATTAACAGAAATATGTCGTAGTCAACAAAATATCATACAGACGCTATAATATTTTAAAAGTGCCATAACTCCACCGAGTATCGGCGGCATACAGTTTCATACAATGAGTGATGCTGTTCGAGAGATAATTTATGAAGATCATGTAAACCTATGCGCCTAAGATCGAGCCTAGAGGAACGTGATTTCTTTCTATTCAAATGTAATGCTGTTAAGGATCACTTGTTGACTTTGGCCGAGCAAACTTTGACTAAAGTCAACGAAAAAAGAGTTACCCGAATCAATTAAAATTGGTCTTGAAAATAAGTTATTTACAACTTTTTAATAAGAGTTTAAACAACTAATTTCGTTATGCAGTTTATTTAATAACATGTCAGGTCAGGTTATCCTGACTGATTAGGAGAAGCCAACTCTGATTTAACAAACCCCCTGCTTTGGGGCTCTTGGTTGAGTAAAGGCTGAGATGATGTCTCAAAAAACGTACTAATTATGGGCACACCTTAAATGCATTCTTCTACTGCCTTTTAGAAAAGCTTCTAGGCAAAGACTTGAAAAATGAGCAGATTCTATCTGTTGACGCGCCGTTTCTTCACTTATTTGGCTGGCTTATTAGAATTTATAATACAATGTTTCGAGTTTAGGATGTTAAGTGTTGGATTTTCTTGACTCATTGCATAAGTTCTGCTTGTGTCTCTATTTTTATTACTAGACAACTCATTATATTATCTCCTAATGAGGGTACAGCTCTAAAACTCAGTTTTATAGTTATGAGGCCGGTTCGTAGTCTATAAGTAAGTAGTAGTAGTAAATTAGTAAACTCTGTGAAAGTTCTCAGAGAGGCTGATTCCATCATCAGCTGTAAAATATCAGAGTATTATCAGTGTCAATCAACGCATGGATGGTCCCTGTTCGTACTTTTGGTGTGCAATGTCAAGACCACAATTGGAGCCCTTTGTTACAGCTTAGAGTATTAATTGTAATTAGGCAATTGCTTGGGATTTTATTTAGTGTACTGTGTACTATATACGCTCTGAGCTAAGTCCTTTAACCAATTTAAAAAATGACTAAAGTATCAAAAACTATAAAACACAAAAAACCATCGTCTTCACCAAGTTCTACAAATCTATATTTCACTATTATTCGTAGTCTTCAAACTAATTTTTCTTTTGTTGAGTCTTATCTCTTGCAAAGTTTTTTAGACCGACTTTTTTTTGTGAGACTAGTTTGAGTTCAGCTGTCTCATGTTGTGACCTTAATGTTGGTGATTATATTTCTTTAGTTTGTAAAGACTCCAATATTCACTTGCTTGGTCTGGACATTAACATTTTTAAGAACACACTTATTTTTCTGGAAACTATGATTGAGTCCACAGACAATTTTTTTATGTGTTTTTGTTTAGTATCACTTTACTCAATCACCTTTGTTTTTTATTCTTCATTTAAGGCCCACACCTTTTTTATTTCTCGACCTTTAACACAAGTAGTCAACTTTCTAACTCACTTTTCAGACAGCCCGATCTGTCTGAAAAGTGAGTTAGAAATCTGGTTTCCAATTCTATTCAGTGCTTAGTTTCTCCACATTTACCCTTAGTTTTGGAGTCCTTTGTTACAGCGGATTAAGAAGTCTTAATCCGCCACACGACTGACATGAAATATATTATACCCTCTAGACAATTCCAAGTCGTGCTTTACTCTTCTCCATGGTTTTCTTTTTATTGTGCTGCCGTAATTTGTAATTGTAACCATTGGTTCTACAGCTTGTGGTTCAGACAACATACCTGTTATAGGCTTGCAGAAGTGTTCTCCAGAGCTGCCGTCTATACTTTTAAAACTCATAAACAAGTGCTTATCAGAGTCTTATTTTCCAGCTTGAAGAAAAGCGACATAAGTTATACCTATTTTGAAATGTTCTGGAGAGCAACCTGACTTGTCTAACTTCCGTCCCATTAATCTTCTTACAGTTATAAGCATAATTTGGGTCTTTAATTAACAAATACCTAATCTTGAATTTAATAACATACTTTTTGAATATTCTTCTTTATTTCTTTTAACTACAGGTGTTTTTCAAAGTTCTATTGCTGGCGCAATAACTATCTCCCTGAAATTCTCACATCTAAAGTTGCATTGTTCGCGGATGATACTACCTTTTATTCTTGTGTTGATAAGAAGCCAAAATTAAAGTGATTGCTTCGAGGCGACATTTGATCTTGAAAAAGGTTGCAATTCTGCTATAACATTAGGCTCTCAGTAGCTGGTGAACTATAGCTCATATAAAGTTCAATTTTTTTCCGTTAATCGTTATCGCAATAGTCTAGACCTTCTTATATTTATGAACAGTAATGTACCAAATAAATTTTCTATCCTTTGTCTTTTAGGATAAACTCTTACTTCCGATCTTTCTTGAAAACCATATATCAAATCTTTTGCAAATTTAGCATCTGCTAAAGTTGCCACTTTTTATTGTGCTCGCTGCATTCTTTCCCTGAATTCTATTCTTTATGTTTTTAAATCTCAAATCCGTTCTTGTATGGAATACTGTTTACATATCTGGAGTATTTCTTTGAATGATGCTTTGGAAGTAATATTTAATAAAAAAAATAAGTGGCCGAAAAATCTAAAAATTTGTTCTCTTTTACAGACGGACCAGAGTCCGAACTATTCTTGGGATCCGGATACAATATTTGGCAAAAAAAAAATTTTAGGACGGTAAAAATATATTAAAAGATGGCTATCGTTTCAACAAGTCAAAATATTCCTGATACTCGTGCTGAACTTGCAGAATTACTAAAAAAGAAGGAAGAGCTTGCAGTAAGTTAACATTTCAAATTATAAAAAATAATCTTTTTATTTAAAAAAAGATTATATTGTCTTAGAATTTTATTTCTAAGAGGAATACACTGGCCTTAAAATGATTATGTTCTAGATTTTTCGAATACTCTATACAACATTTTTTTTATAGTAGTAATACAAAATGCTATATTGATTACTGTAGAGTCTATCTCATCATGAATGCTTCTTAATTATTAGATATCTGATTTATGTAGTTAGTTCAAAAGTTTTTAAAATTTCAACTTTTCATCTGATGCATTCTGATCATCATAAAATTTGGCTTCAAAAGTTATAATAACAATATTAATACTACTTTTAATATACACATTTAAATCTTTATTAAAAAGTCTGACTTTTTGGAAACTTTAAAATCAACGATTTTATAACATTTTAAAATGGTCTTATATATAATCTTTCTAAAATTTTAAAGGTTGACACACTTATCTATTTATCAAAGTGTGTACTTGTATGAGACATTATCCACAATAATATTTCCAGCTGTTTCACTAGCTATTTTAAATTCACAAATGATATTCAAGTCTGTATCTAGTCTCTCTAAGCCTTTAAAACAAAATCTTTCAAAGTATCTGTATTTTTAGAAAATAGAACATTGTACCACCTCTCCCTTTAATCTAAAGAAAAAAAATATATTTATTATTTTGAAACAAAAATTATAATTAATTTTTCTTGGATTTTAGTAAATTTAAAAACAAATTTAAAAAAATTTAATAATAATCATTGTTAACGATGAATGCAACAAGAACGTATGCAATAGTCGTCTATCATAAAATTGAAAGTGATACCATATACATAATGTATCCAATATTTTGTATAAATAATTTGACAAATTGAAAATTTTTGCAATTTGATAAACAATAAATTTCATAAATGGAATTTTTTGGAGATTTAATATTAAATCTCCAAAAAAATCCATTCCATATTTTTATTTATATAAATAAATATTTACTATTAAACATTTTAATAAGTGTAATACATGTGAAAACTGGCAAAGTCATAAAAAAGTTGACATGTGCAGGTACAATTGAATGATTTTAATGGTATCTTTTTGCAAGTCACACCACTTGCTGTACTTTTTTTGCAAGTTACACCACTTGCAGTACATTATTTATGTATATGTAAATAATACACGTTTACATAACATTTCACTTTATTTATATAAATGTATCAAATTTATAAATATATCTTATATTACAAAACTGATATTTTTACAGTCTATCATATGTGTACATTTAAAAACACATAATAAATTTATAAAAATATTAACTCTTCTGATACAACATCATCATCAAGATGGAACATTTTTTGCAATAGACAACAACTTCTGAATCGGTTTCTTTAATTTTCCATTAATAAATAGTAAAGTTATGTCTTCTTTTAACAAGAAATAGTAAAGTTATGTCTTCTTTTCTTTTAATTATTTTTTCTATTTGATCATCATACATTACAGATATGCTATTAGCTGTATCAAACCTATCATGGCAGGCTTCTCTCCCTACAATTCTTTTTAACATTATGTCATTTAAGCCAGCAAGTTGTTAGTTAAAAAAGTGTTAATAAATTCTTTACATCATTAAAAGATATCGCTCCAGCTCTTATTTTCTTTTTCATTGATTTATTGCCTTTAGCATGTCTGTCTTTTTGAAATTTCTAATTTCAATGCAATATGGTTCAGTCAATTTTTTTTTTATGACCGCCATTAATAGATCACTTAACATTTTTTTGTATAGTAGGTTTATATTTTCTAGATCCATTCTATTGTAATATTATTTTTTGATGATATTACAAAACATACCCATAAAATATTCACTATACAAAACAGTACAGCTGGATTTGATTTGCAATCATTAATTGTTGTCAAAATATCCTTAACTACTTTTATACTAGTGACATGATAAAAACTTGCATTCTCATCTGAGACATAAAACTTTGTCGTCCAAGGTCCGGTGAGAAATTTTCTAAAAATTCCTAGCACAGGCAATTGTTTTACAGCAGTTGCATTACAAAATGGTGCTTGAAAAATTAACTGTAAAGTACCACATTTTACTGTTCTAGTTATTAGAAAACGTAGAATATTTTTTTCTCTTGAATAAAATTTTCTTGTTGGCCTATTCCAAGTTTTAAGTTTTGCTTGTGGAAGCTAAAGGTTCATTTCTAATAGGAGATAATACATTGATGTACTCTGGCAATGTTGCCACTGAAGAACGTGAGAGTAAAAACATTACTACTAAGGGTAGGCTGTAATGAATGTCTGTATATATATGTATATATATTTATACTTTAAATTAAATTTTTTTTTTTTTAACAACTTCTTTTCCAACAAGGCTGCAAGCAACCACTAATTAGAGTTGAAAGTTACTGGAAGAGAAGAGATGAAGATTAAAGAGCAAGATAACGATTGACAGACGACTTAAAAGGTTTCAAATTATATGAATCAGGAAAGCAAGATCAAGAAAGCGAATTCCAAAGAACTGATGTTCGAGGAAAAAAATTAGATGAATAAGAGTTTTTGGAGCACTTAGGAAAAAAGTGTTAATAAATTTTTAAAAAGTGTTAAGAACAGTAACAAAAAAACGATGAGACTTAATTGAATGACAAGTAATACAAGAATGAATTTTAGTAGATGGCACAAGAGGCGCTAGCTCTTTAAAGCAGTGCTCATTATAGTATTTGTAGAAAAGAGAAAGAGAAGCAGCATTACAACGATGTGACAGAGAATGAAGGTTGGCTGCAAGAGCTGGTCCAACTATGTTTGCAATGCGTTTTAGCACCTTGTCTAAAAGAGAATGGGCATCATTAGAAGATCCGCCCCAGATATGGCAACAGTATTCCATACAAGGTTGCATTTGAGATTTATATATATATATATATATATATATATATATATATATATATATATATATATATATATATATATATATATATATATATATATATATATATATATATATATATATAAAGTTTTTAGAGCATGCTGGGACAGATACAGCAAACGAATGAGACTTAGCTGAATGACAAGTAAAATGAGAATGGATTTTAGTTGATGGAACTAAAGATGATAACTCCTTTGAGCAGTAACCATAATAGTATTTGTAGAAAAGAGAAAGAGATGCAACTTTACGACAATGGGAAAGAGGCTCAAGCTTAGCAGATAGTCCAGGTTCAACAATATTTACAATGCGTTTTTGGACCTTGTCAAGAAGAGGAAGTGAGTCGTTAGAAGAACCAGCCCAAATATGACAACATTCCATACAGGGACGAATAAGAGATTTGTAGAAGTAGAGAATGGAATCAGAAGTAATTTAGCAATCGATTTTATATTTGTTATTCATTAATATAGGAATGTTGACCATATTACGGTAGTTGTTTGCAGTAAACAACTGGGTTTTGTTAGAGTTGAAATTCACAAGCCACTGTGAACCCCAATCTATTACTGAAGTGAGTTTGGATTCAAGATCAGCTGCTTGTTCTAGGCGATCGAAAAGAGAAGACTTTTTGTCAAGACAGGAGTATAAAATTGAGTCATCAGCAAAAAGAGCTACTTTAGATGAAAGGTTGTCAGGAAGATCATTTATGTAGATAAGAAACAAAATTTTTTTTTTTTTTTTTTTTTAACATCTTCACTTCCAACAAGGCTGCAAGCAACCACTATAAGAGTTGGAAGTTACTGGAAGAGAAAAGACTAAATCTGTAGAGCAAGATAACGATTGACTGATGACTTAAAAGATTGCAAATTATATGAATCAGGAAAGCAAGATGAAGGAAGCGAATTCCAAAGAACTGATGTTCGAGGAAAAAAACTAGAAGAATAAGAGTTTTTGAAGCACTTAGGAACAGTCACAGAAAAAGGATGAGACTTAATTGAATGGCGAGTAACACGAGAATGAATTTTAGTAGATGGCACAAGGGACGCTAGCTCTTTAGAGCAGTGCCCATTATAGTATTTGTAGAAAAGAGAAAGAGAAGCAACATTACGACAAAGTGACAAAGGTTGGAGATTGGCTGCCAGAGCAGGTCCAACTATGTTTACAATTCGTTTTTGCACCTTGTCTAAAAGAGAAAGAGCATCATTAGAAGATCTGCCCCAGATGTGGCAACAGTATTCCATACAGGGACGGATTTGAGATTTATAGAGATAGAGAATAGAATCTGGAGTAAGAAAGTGTCGAGCTCGATAAAGAGATGCAACCTTAGCAGATGCTAATTTTGCAATGGATTTGATATACGGTTTAAAAGAAAGATCAGAAGTAAGAGTTAATCCTAGAAGATGAATGGTAGATGACTCATCTAGTACATTACCATTCATAAATATAGGAAGATCTAAATTATTACGATAACGATTGGCCGAATAAAATTGAGTTTTATCTGAATTAAAGTTCACCAGCCACTGTGAGCCCCATGCTGTAGCAGAAGTGAGATCCTTTTCAAGCTCAGATACCCCCTCCAAGCAATCAGAGAGTGTAGGCTACTTATCATGACAAGAGTAAATGGTAGTGTCGTCAGCGAATAATGCCACCTTAGATGTGAGAATATCTGGAAGATCGTTAATGTAAATTAAAAAGAGTATAGGGCCAAGGTTTGAACCTTGAGGAACCCCTGAAGTTACAGGATGTGAAGAAGAGTGTTGTCCATCGAGGACAACTTTTATACTACGATTGGAAAGAAAGGACTCAATAATCTTAAAGACGTTACCAGCTACACCATAAGAAGAAAGCTTATGGAGAAGACCAGCATGTCAAACTTTATCAAAAGATTTAGAAATGTCAAGTGCGATAGCCTTAACCTCTCCACCTCCATCTAATGCACGGTAAAACCTATCGGTTATTACTGTTAGCACATCAGCTGTAGAACGAGAAGACCGAAATCCATATTGATGATCAGAAAGTAAGTTATTTGATTCAAGATGAGAGATTAAGTGTTTGTTGATTAAAGATTCAAAAACCTTGCTTATGACAGGAAGA